CCAAACCTAGTTCTTTTTTCTCTTTACCCAGGAGTGATTTATTCAATAAATACACAAGATTGAATCCATTTAATTTCTTCTTGGAAGTTTTAAATGCTTGGTCATCCTGGGCCTTGAATGGGACCCCCTGTGCCCCTCCTGTTCTGACAGATGAGTGGGTGAGGCACAGGGCCTAGGCTACAGCTTGAGAAGCAAAGAATTCGAACAGAATGACTTCAGAAACTTGGGGAAAGGGATGGAAAATGAACTTCAGACCATGGCCCCGACCACAAAATAAAGCCCCCCGTACATCTCCCACCCCCGTTTCGTGCAGGTAGAAGACCATCTAAGTTTATGGCGAGTCCGGCCTTCCTCACACTCCGGGAATGTCGTTGAAAGCAGCAACCCCACAGAACCCTCCAGAGCAGGGATGGGGGGATGTGGGGGGGGGGGTTGGGTGCCCTGGTTTTGTGACTGGCTCTGGCTCTTCTCCATATGGTTGTGTGGTTGTGGTTTTTTTTTTAAAGATTTTATTTATTTATCTTTAGAGGGGAAGGGAAGGAGAGGGAGAGAATATCAATGTATGGTTGCCTCTCATGCGTCCCCTGCTGGGAACTGGCCTGCAACCCAGGCATGTGCCCTGACTGGGAATGGAACCACGATCCTCTGGTTCGCAGGCCCGCACTCAATCCACTGAGCTACACCAGCCAGGGCTCTCCATATGGTTTTATCAGGGCAGAGATGCCTTTGGGTTGAACTAATTCCCCCTCTTGAGGTCTCCGCTGAGACACCTCTTCCTCTGGGCAGCCTTCCCTCACGCTCCAGTTTGGAAGGAGCCCTTCCTCGGTGCATCCCTGGCACCTTGTGTGGTCAGACTTTCTCACCGTGCTAGCTCCAGGCTGAAGCCTCCTGTACAGTAGTCAGGGATTACAGCTTGACCACAGTTCAAGTCTCAGCTATTTCTACACACAGCAGACACTCAGTCTCTTGAACAAATGTGTGGATGTTACTATACACTTTGAAGTGAGACGGGAAGAAGGTATACGGGGAAACATTTGGGGAATCGGATCTCGAAGGATTGGGTGATTCCTCCATTGATGGGCTTGGCAGGTTGAGCAGAGAAAACTTCCTCCTTCCTGGAACCTCACTAAAAGGAAAGGAAAGGAAACTGACAAGGATACAGGAGAGGAGATGGCCGCAGCGCCATGTGGGAAAGAGGCGGATACCTTCTCATGGATGTAGCAGGCCTGAGGAAACATGAGCCTGAACTAAATAAAGGGAAGCACAGAAACATCCCCATTGCACAAATCAGAGGTGCCGGGCACTGAAGGGGAGGGCTGGAAAGGACTACCCGAAAGGTTACATAAAAATCAGTTCATACGTCCAGTGCGATTAGAACCTGGCATGCACTGAATAAACAAGGTATGTTATCCCAGGCCCATGACCCTTCTGCAGCCTGGCTGAAGACTGCAGGGTTACTCTGGAAAGGCTGAACCAGTGAGCGGTCTCTGGGCTGGTGGGCCTGCAGCATGGATGGGGGCGGGGGGAGGGTTCCAATGATGGAGATGGGGTTCAGTGACAGCAGAAGGATTCCTTCTGAGGGAACAGGAGCATGAGAGAAAAGACAAAAGTGGGCTGGTAAGACACCTAGAGTCCTCATCTCTGACATTCAGTAGCTGGTAATACTAAGACTGAGGAGTTCACGAAAGCATATAACTTGGAAATACAGAAGCAAATTTCCAAAGAAACGAAAGACAGGAAGTCGTTGCCTCTTAGAAGCAGCCAGGGAAATACGGGGTGAGGGTGCCATGGGAATGCTTTTTGTTGTATTGCTGCTCTACACTTTCTACAATATTCGACCTTTTAAATCAGGCACTTAAAAATGACCATAACAAAATCACAGAAAAATTAAGTAAGAAAAAGAGGCTCTTACAAGCCAGTCAGATATGCGGAAGGAAGAGGGGAAGGAGAGGAATTGTCCAAGTGACAAAAAACCCTAAACATCAGTGAAGGGTAAAGAGATTGGGAAAAGAACAAAGCCATGCGCCCCAGAAATGACAGCAAAGAAAATAACGCAGGCAAAGGATACTGCCACAACCTGAACAGAACATCCCGTCTGGAGCTGGGATGGTGATGGAACTTGAAGCATTTGCCTTAAACTGTCACTCGGTCAGACTCATTAGTTGAATGGGCGCAGTACCCAAGTCCCAAGGGGCAGTGAGAAGAGTGTGTGAAATAACATAAGCAGCATAAAGCACTAGAGAGATGAGGAAAAACCCAAGTCCTTCCCCCAAACTGAAGGGCTCTCCTCTTGCAAGGTATTCTCTGCTTCAGTCTATGTGACAAACTGTTCCTTGGGCAGGAATGTTATCTGGTGCTTTGACTTATTTTGGTGACGTTGACCAGTGTTTGCTCAACGCCCCATTTCCTGGCAGTCTGAGGGGAGTGACCGATTTTCCAGAGATGAATCAGACTTTGTCCCTGGTGTCAATGACCTCAGCGAAGATAGGAGGCCAATTAAAGAAATTCCACAGTTAATATTTTAATAACAGGGTCTACTTTTTCTGCTTGAGAGAGTTGGCATTTCACTGGGGTCTCTGAAAAATAAGGAATCTGAAAGATGATTAGGACAGAATCTTCTCTGGTGTTCTTGTCGTTTTTACTTTTGTCCTGATCACTCATGCAACTTAAAGCTCTTGGAGAATCGTTGAGAAGATGCGGAGACTCCAGAGGTGGAGACCATGCTTTCCTTTAACCACATGACACCTCACAGGACCTTTCTCCATTTCATTTAGGTGAAAACACTCCAAACTACCAGTCAAGAGTGACCCTGGGCCCTGGCTGGTGTAGCTCAGTGGATTGAGCGCGGGCCTGCAAACCAAAGGATGGTGGTTCAATTCCCAGGCAGGGCACACGCCTGGGTTGCACACTAGTTCCCAGCAGGGGACCCACGAGAGGCAACCGTACATTGATATTTCTCTCCCTCTCTCCTTCCCTTCCCCTCTAAAGATAAATAAATAAATAAATCTAAAATGAAAAGAAATAAAAAAGACTGACCTTGGTTAACACAGTTCCTCTAGGGGTCCAAGACCTCCTGGGCATGCTCTACATTTAAAGTTACTTTCTACACTTTGAAAGTGAGCACGAGCCAAGGCCAATGAGAGCAAAAGCCTCCACAATAATGTTACAATTAGCTACACTCCTCCAGCCAGAGACACCCCAGGAAAGCCCCTGCAATTGAACAAGTTGAGTTCAGTATTCACTACAATGAGAGAGAACGCACACCCTGGGGAACTGTGCGGCATCTTAGGAAGAGTGTTAGGAAAGACACTGGAGGATTTGGGCTTGTGTAAGGTGATTTTAGGGAGGGGTTCAGGAAGCAGGACTCTGCTCTGTATTGGATGCTCCCAGGAAGCAAGAGGAATTTTACTATCTTTAGGCATTGTAATAAGTCTTACCTTTTAAGACAGAGCAGAGTGAGGAGAAAGCTGTAATTGGTAAGAGGTAGCAGCCACTCACCGTAGCTGGGAGCATGGATATTGGGTTCTGACACCACCTCTATGACTCAAACACCTCGTTTGGGTTCCAAAACCCCAAAATGGCAGTACTCATGCCCAGGTGCCCTCTTCACATGGCCTGGCTCTGAAACCCTCCTTACCCTGTCCATGTTATTAGCCCCATGCCGGTCCATTCCACCGCTTGGAATGCCCTCCAGGAGGTTGTCACCCTGCACCAAGCCACGCCCTGCATAAACACCCGCCTCATGCAGCTGAGGCTCTGAACCCCTGCGGTGAGCCCATCTTATGATGACTTTTGGACTGAACTGTTTAGAAAGGCAAGGCAAGAGGAAGAGCAAAAAGTGTTATAATTTGAAATAAAGCAAGCCATTCCCTCATGGACTGTGTGTGCATGGTCTTAAAAATGTTCTTTGCCTCTTTAGAAAGTAGGACTAATGAAGTCTGACCCACAATCCAGAACTGACTCTAATCATGAGCTCACTATTCACCGGCACACTGCCTTTCCAAATGTAAAGTTATTTCCTCAGCCCTCACACTTATCTCTCAAACACTCCAAACAGCACTGAAGAGTAGAAGGGTCATTTGATGTTTTAAAAAATTTATTATGAGTTGCATTTTTCTTTATGAAGAAAAAATCAGTTGAATCTATATAAAAAATTATTTGGCAGGTAAATTACAAACCTTTGGTCCAAATCTTCAAATAAAGCTTATGCTGCAAGAAGATGCAACATAATCTCTTTATTCTGCAAAACAGGCCGGTGGTAACATAAGATCCTAAACATGCAGTCACGATTCCACTGGATCCTATGCTGTCTCACATTTCCATATATTCAGAATCCCACATACCCATCTTCATACAGCCTGGCTTGCACCTAGACACTCGACTATCCGTCACACAGCGACCCACGCATCCACACCATCCAACACATATGTCTCCAGTCACAGTTAAGCACAGCCACAGTCTCCCACTGAACCTGGCACCTCACTGCTTACACTTATCAGACTGCCAAGCTACTTTCTGTGACCCACAGCTAGAGAGGGCGCAGTCGGTCCCACAACCTTCACGCACCCACGCAAGCTCGCAAGCCAGATACAAAGGGCCATACGTACATCCTTTTAAATACACATAAAAAGCTCACTCTGTGTACCAAGGAGCCGGGACTACCTCCCAAGAACAAACTGACCAAACCTACGTGCCTGAGCTCCCGCAAGTCCCGCAGGCACTTGGCTTCAGGGTCGCACCCATGGATGCACTTGGCAGTCGGGAGAAATTTGCACAGTCCAGACAGCAACCGGGTGCGAGACCCCCTTGTTTGTTTTCCCAAGCCCACAGCACTGCCCGCCTAGACTGGGTTGTAACTGCGGGTTCCCGGGATTTGCGCCTGTGCTTGCTTGGTCCCGGGCTTGTGCGTCCAGCGCCCAAGCCCACCTGCTCCTGGCTGTGGACTACATTTCCCAGAAATCCCAGGGTCAGTGCTAGCTGCAACTTTGAGGGCCCTTTACGATGCGTTCTAGGCGGTTTCACCACGGGTGGAGTTTGTTGCTGCCAAGGAAGAAGTCAGCCTAGGCGAGACACAGCAGGCCTTGTTGGAGTAGGAGTGGGGTCGGGGTTGCTGACCCACGTGAAGAGCCCCGTGGTGAGGATGGCGCGCTTTGTGTAGGGAGCCTCGAACCTGGTAGTGCATGAGGGATACAGGAGGGGAACTGTGTGATTGAGACACGCGGTGTACTTGCATGTGCGCACCTGCCTTTCAGGTCCAGGTTGGGCCGCTGTGACCCTGTGTGCAGCTGTGAGGCTGCCCCTGTTGTATGCCAGCCTCTCCTCACAGCCCCGAGTGTTTGCACAGAACAATGTCCCCAAAGAGGAAAGTCAGATACTGTATTGAGCCCTAGGAACGGGGTTCCCAGCAACAAGGCACACAGTCCTGGGCTTTGGGGCGGGACTTTTAGAGCTAGAAGTGCCCCTGAGACTGACTTCTGGGACTAAATGATAGCAGGGACTGTCTCTACTTGGAGGCACTGTGGGTGCTGCTACATTTGTCAGAACCACAGCATTTTCATACCTCTAATCCTTGGTTTCTGCTGTGAATGCAAAGACAGATTCCGGCCTCCCTCTCCCATCTGGTTACATGTGTGAGATCTGAGCAGATGTGGCCCTGGAGGGGATTTTCTTGGTCTATGATCCAAGAAAGTCCTGGTGCCTCATGAGTTCCTTCTTCCCCAGCCCTGCCATTCGGCCAAAGAGGGCTCCTGAGGAAGAAGGAAGTTGTTGCACATCTGAATCCAGATCAGGTGAGTTTGTATTTCCCCTTCGTTCATTGCTGCATTTTTGTTTCTAGAAAATGGAAACATTGCTCATTTTCCTGAAATGTCCAGTGGCCTGCGCTAGGCCTCCCCCCCTGTAACTGATGGCCCATGTAGACCCTCTCCTCCCTGGCCCTCAAATGCTCCCTCCTCATTCAAATCACTCCTCTGCACTCACTTTTTCATGATAGGAAGAAATGCTTATCCTGGAGTCTAAGTTCAAGCTTTGTTTTATTGGGATTAGTGTGGAATCACATCACTGATCTCTAAAACCTCAGTTTAAAAGTAAGGCGAGCCCTGGCTGGTGTAGCTCAGTGGATTGAGCGCAGGCCTGGGAACCAAGCAACCACGGTTCGGTTCCCAGTCAGGGCACATGCCTGGGTTGCAGGCCAGTTCTCTTCCTCTCTCCTTCCTTTCCCCTCTAAAGATAAATAAATAAAATCTTTAAAAAAAAAAAGTAAGGCGAGATCAGAGGTGGTTTGACCAGTGCCAGTAAGTGACACACGGGCATCTACTTTTTAATTTTTAAAAGGCTTTTGGGAGCAGGAATGTGATTGGAAGTCAGAGCATGAAAATTTGTGTCATCGTGGGCAGGGATTTTTCCAAGCAATCAGTGGGTTGAGATTTATGTTTATAAAGAGTTTATCATTAAAAAAAAAGTACACATGAGTTAAGTAATATTGCATGCTTAAGATTATGGAATTAATGTTTTTGCTCATTTTTGCAAAAAATAAAATGTATTCAGTTCTATTACATGAAGGACTTGTAAAGAAGAAAGTTAAAATAGCCCCAGCATCGGTATTCATAGTAGGAGAAGGTTGTGGCAAAATTTTTCTTTGTACGTGTTTGTGTATTTCTGCAGAGTAGAAATTACACTAATTGACCATTCAAAGGACGCAAAGACTGTCCATCCCCTATTTGGAAAAAGTAATTTTGCATAACTATAGTTTTCTTATACTCCAAGAATAAAAGAAGAAGAGCAAAGTGCCAATGAACCCCTCTAGTTTGATTGAACTTCAAGGTATTTACACCTTTTAGGGTCATATAAACCAATGAAGAGTTATTATTATCATACCATTTATCAAATCAAATAACCCTTCAGGATTATACATTTTTTAGATTATTAAGATTGCTTTTCCAGGGCATAGCAATATCTTCCCCTGTCCATTATGCAAATAATATGTTGTAGGACAGATTTATAATAGTAGGAAGCACAGTAAGGTTGTAATGACTATAAATATTCACATAAATCTTTACATGGGATAAGAAAATAAGATTGAACCTCTTATTAAAGTTCTCCATTTAATGCCTTATTATGTTCTTTTGGTTAGTTTTATGTTGAACAAAGGTGTCTCCTCTTTGGTAGCTATAGGGACAAGAGTGGGCTTCTTACAATATTTAAAATGTCATTATCCACTTCCAGCCAAGATGGAGGTGTAGGTGGAAACACTGTGCCTCCTCACACAACCAAGTTTAAAGACAACAAAGTTTTAGTAACAAAAGCGCAACCAAAACACAGAAAATTGAACTCTATGGAAGTCTGACAACAACGAACCATTCAGCCAGACCGGTAAGAGGAGCGAAGTCAGCGAGGCAGAGCGAGGTGGGGCAGGAGAGATCAGCGTGACCCAGGAGTACAGGCGGTGGTTGGCAGATCCCAGGTACAGGGTGGCAACGGGTGGACCCAGTGAGGGTGCAAGGCAGCTGGCTGACCACGGTCACACATTCACACCCAGATAAACCAGGAGAAGGAGCAAGCAGTGAGACTGAGCGCAGGCTAGGGCCACAGCAGCGAGAATTAAAGCCTTAAAGCACCACTTGGAAAAACTTCTGGGGTCGAGGTGCCAGGAGAAGCTCCCAGGCTCACAGAGAGTTTGTTGGAGACCCACAGGGTCCTGGAGGGTGCACAGGCCCACACACCCAGGAGCCAGCACCAGGGGAGCCTGGTTTGATTGCGGGAAGCAGCAGAGGAGACCAAAATCTGAGACAGAGCAGAACAAACGCCATTGCCTCTCTCTGACCCCACCCCCACATACAATGTCACAACCCAGCAACTGGTTGACCCACCCTGGTGAACACCTAAGGCTCCGCCCTTCATACATAACAGGCATAAACAGACCAAAATATTATGGCTCGAGAAGAACAGCTTAAAGCCCCAGAGCCAATAGTTCTAAGCGACCAAGAGATAGCCAACCTATCAGATGCACAGTTCAAAGCACTGGTGATCAGTATGCTCACAGAACTGGTTGATTTTAGTCACAAATTAGAGGAACAAATGAAGGCTAAACTAATTGAAATGAAGGGAAATGCACAGGAAACCAATAGTGATGGAAAGGAAACTGGGACTCAAATCAAGGGAGTGGACCAGAAGGAAGAAAAAAATGACCAAACAGAAAAGAATGAGGAAACAAGAATTCAAAAAAATGAGGAGAGGCTTAGGAACCTCCAGGATATCTTTAAATGTTCCAACATCTGAATTATAGGAAGAGGGGCGTCCATCAAAGGTGGTTCCAAAGGTTCTGGCCTGAGCAACAGGACGCATGGAGTTGCTAGTAACCGAGACAGGAAGCCTGCAGGATGAGCAGGTTTGGGAGGAAGATCAGGAGCTCGGCTTTGGACGCAAGCAGTCTGAGACTCCCCTAGACATCCACGTGCAGGTGTTGGAGAGATGAGCCCAAAGTCAGGGAGGAGTGTGGCACTGGAGAAGGAGTGGCAGGACTTACCACTCCAGCCCCCGGGAGTGCCGTCAGCTCCTGCAAGGTCAGCCTCAGTCACAGAAAGCCACCTCGCTCAAATCCGGGCAGTTCCTGTGATGGCCACATCAGTAACTGATACAGGCCAGGATGGGAAGCCCAGGAATTCGAGCCACAGGGGGCAACCTGAGTGGGCTCTCCGTGCTCTGGAGCCCTTCACAGGGTCAACCAAGGCCAATGTGGTCCCTGCATCACAGTTCAAAGTCTCCATCCGCCCGGCCCTGGTTGCTCCCTCTGCCTTCCACAGGTGTCAATCCCTAATAAACATTCTGCATTTCCAACTGCATCTCAGTGTCTGCCTGCTTCCAGGGAAGCCAAATTGCAGCAGGAGCCTGCAGCATCTAGAAGGTGTATAAAGCCTGTTTGGTGTACATACAAGACCCCCCGCATTTCAGTCCTACTTCCTAAGGTACAGGCTCAGATCTCTGCCCTGGGCCCCGCATCCTGGCCCTGAGAGACAAGAGGAGAGTGAAAAATAGCTGGTATATGCATTTCAGACAGGCCACGACAGGAAAGGCCAAAAATGTCCAACGCTGATAATATTCAGTGTTTAGAAACAATCTAGTTAAAACCACAGAAGCATGCCATTTCACATCCATCAGAATGTCAAAAATCAAAAAGTTTCTCAATATCAAGTTTTAGTCCATAGAAGGGAGCAAATACCCACAGGACCACACTGATCTAAGGAAGTGACCAAATAAGTAAGCAGATGAGGAAGAGAGACAGCTCTGGGTTTCAGCAGAATTCTAATGAAGAAATGTAGAAGGAAACGGGGACATGAAAAATCACTGTGAGGCAAATTCCCAGGAGTAACTGTCACAGACAAGATCTACCATTGGATGTTCAAATTAGTGGGTGGCCCTGGCTGGCGTGGCTCTGGATTGGACATCCGCCTTACTAATTGAAAGGTCATTGGTTCTGTTCCCTTCAGAGCACAGGCCTGGGTTGCTGACCAGGTCCCCAGTTGGGGGTGTGCAAGAGGCAACCAGTCAATGTTTCCCTCCCTTTCCTGTCTCTAAAAAATAAATAAGTAAAGTCTTTAAAATTAGTGGATGAAAGTTTGAGGAGAAACAAGACTCGTACAGTCTTGGAGTATCCCCCTAAAATATTTATTAATTACAAGGGGAAAGACAATACCTTTACAGTGGTAAGTGCAATTACAGCACTATAACCAAGTGGTCACGGTCAACTTCACCAGTAGTGAGACACATGGGACACATGGATATCATGAAACCCCTGATATGATGCTTTCTATGGTACTCTTGGGGAAAAAATGCATACCTTCATGAATTTAAACCATTAAAAACATCAGATAAATCCAAATTAAGGGAAATTCTATAAAACAGTTGGTCAATACTCTTCAAAAGTGTCAAGGTCATGAAAGACAGGGATACAGAGGAACTGTCCACAATAATAAATTACTGCTTTGAGCGGCCTTTTTAGAGAAAAGCCTCTGTTGTGCATGGTGGCCACCAGATGGCGCTTGGATTCCAAGGGCGGAATCCTAGACCTTGCCAACATTACAGAGAGGTCGTTCATTGCCCCCGAGTTTGCTTGTAAATGCATGCTAGTCCTAATAAAAATGTCATCGGGTTTTTGTTTCTAGTTAGATAACTTGATTCTAAGGTTCATTTGGAAGAACAAAGGCAAAGAAGGAGGAGGAGAAGTGAGGAAGTAGCTCTGCCAGATATAAAAACAATATTATTGGTGGACAAATAAGCACGAAGATCAAGGGAAGGATTAGAAAAATCCAGAAATAGAAACAATTGCTTATGGAAATGCATTTTATGATTGTAAAATAGTTTTAATTTAGGCAAGAACTTTAGAGGAGTCTTTAATGTAGTAGGATTAGAGCAACGAGATAATGAAAACAAAAGTTTGAATGCACTTCTCACGCTGGATACCAGATTAAATTCCAAGTGTATCAAAGATCTAAGTGAAAAAAACACCTCACAAACAATAGAAGGAAACTCTGCTGAGTCCCCTAATGACCTACAACAGGGTAAACTTTCCAAACCATTTATCAAAATCCAGAAGCAATAAAAGAGAATTTTGTTAAATGGCCAAATGAAAATATAAACCTTGTGCTGTTCCCAAAAAAATAAACCTACTAGATCCAAACCAAAAGCTTCAGGTAGCCTGGTTGGTGTGGCTCAGTGAACTGAGTGCCGGCCTGTAAACCGAATGGTCACTGGTTCGATTCCTGGCCAGGGCACATGCCTGCGTTACAGGCCAGGTCTCTGGGCTGCAGGGGAGCTAATTCATGTTTCTCTCCCCCTCTTTCTCCCTCACCCTCTCTCTGTAAATTAAAAAATAAAGCTTTTTAAAATTTTTCAGGAGAAAAATATGTACAACTTATGTCACAAAGAATTAGTCTCCCTAACATAAACAGCCTCTAAAAATTGAGGGGAAAAGACCAAGAGGCTTCTTGAAAGTAGAGAAGACAGGTGAGGAGAATTCATATAGAAAGAAATACAAATGCCCCCACGTGTATAAAAAGGTATGCTCAACCTCATTCATAATTTAAAAATTAGCACTATCCTGAGACCTTTTTTCTCACCTATCTGATTAGCAAAACTCCAGCTATTCGAGGACTGCCCTGGACGTGCTGTGGGGAAGGGGGGATTCTCACACCTTGCGGCTGAAATGCAAACAAGGTAAAACAGCGTGAAGGAGAACCGGGCAATATCCAGCAAGTGCACCCTTTGATCCTAGACCCTCATCTATTGGAAAGACCTGCAGATGGGAAAAAAAAAGTCACACGAGCACATGAGTGTGCCTTTTTGTTGCAACATTATTTGTCATGGCAAAAAGAAGACGAAGAAGAGAAAAATGATTGCCCTGAAATAATAGGGTACTGTTTAAATCATCTCTGCACATCCATAAAATGGAATACTGCATAGCCGTGGAAAGGAATGTGGTATATTAGGATTATACAACATATACATAAGACGCGTGTGCAGTGACCTCCAAACTACAGTAAGTTCTCACTCCACATCATCAGTAGGTTCTGTGACTGAGCAAAGCAACTTATAACGAAACCAAATTTACCAGGCACTAGTAGTAACAAGAGTTAAGTTCTCAACGTTATAACAAAATGACATTGAACAAAACAGAGTTCTTCAAGGACGTAATATACACGCATAGTTGAGTTAAAACAAAAGGAAAAGGCAAGGTGCCGACTGGTGCAGGGTGTGCAACCTCTGGTGCCATGAGGAGGTGCAGGGTCTTCCCTAGTTGTCAGGGCAGATTAGGGCAGGTGGATAGTGGTCCAAGAGGTGACAGCCTGATACAGGAGGTGGGGTGTGTGGGCTCTGGACTGGTTGGTTTGTGTTCGAAAATCATGCTCACTGGTGAGTCATTGCCTGTCTTTAGGAACTGGCTAGTCCTGGCAGAGGCGGACCCTCCAGAGCCAGCAAGATCCCAGGTGTCAACGCATCAGAATACAGCGGGGAAGCACCTGGGTAATACGCCTCCTTGGCCTTCCTGTGACATTCCACCCACCGTCCTGAACCTCCCCCCTCCCTCACTTTCTACCAGTCCTCAGTCTTCCGGTTCTCCTGTCTGACCTGCCCATCCCTTCTCAGTGTCTGTCCCGGTGTCTGTGCCTACCACGCCTGGCTGGGGGATCTCCTCATGCTGCTTGTCTCTTTGGGGAGACTTGCCCAGGCCCCTGGCTTCAGCAGTCACCTAGGCGCTGGTTATTCCCGAATCTCCATTTCTATCCAGACCTCTCCCCTGAGCCAAGACCCTGCAGCCAAGTGCTTACAGGGTGCCTGCACCTGAGTGTCTCAGCTGGAAGCTGGACAAACCCAGGGGCAAACCCAACACGTCCGTCATCCCAACCCTGGCCCCTCCCCCTATAGTGCCGATATTTGGTGAATGGCCACCGCAGCCTACCTTGGGACCCAGGCCAGGAAACTGAGAGCTGTCCTAGACTCCCCCCTCCCCGCAAACAGTAATCAGGCCTTTTCAAAGTCTCCGGTCATCTCCTCCCCACGCCACCGCCACTGCTCTGGTTCAAAGACCGCAGCCTGCTCCGGATCAGCCAGCCTCCAGTGGAGGCAGAAGCCGCACCAGTTACCATCTCGGTATAAAGATGTTATCCAGGTAACTGAACGGATACAAAGAGGACTCCAAGGCAGCAGCCCTTCAACTTGAACACATTGCCCGGAGGACTTGTTAAGACACGGACTGCAGAGCCTGACACTAGAGTCTCTGACTGGTCTGGGAGGGGACCTGGAGTTTCGCGTCTCTACCGACTCCCGGGCTGAGGCCGCCGAGGCCCAGGCCCAGGCGGAGGCTGCAGGTCTGCGGGCCTCGCTGAAACCCGCGGCTCTAAGGTGCGGGAGGACCAAGCGCGGGAAGCCGCTCCACAGGGCTCCCGGAGCCCGGGGAACAAAGACTCTGCACCAGCTGCCTGGCGCTGACGTGTGTCATGAAACTGGTTTTGCAAGTGTTGGAAAACGGGACAAACTCCAGGAAGGAACTACTGTGGCTGCTGCGGGAGGAGTGAAGTGTTGCCCAGGTAACGCCAACGGTAACAGCCCGCAAGTCCCTTTGGCGGAAGGTGTGCGGAGGTGCTGGGAAGAGGTTCCCAGGAGGCAGAACTTGGAAAGTCCTGGGCAAACCGGGACCTAGAACCATCCATCGGGCAGAGCAGCATGTGGTTCGCCCGATCGGCATCACTAAGTGCGGAATAGGAGACTGGGCTTCCCGGCCTCTGCATCCTCAAGGCTGCCTCAAGAGAAGCTTTATAAATTGGTAAAACTGGTCGTTTCAGACTCTTGACAAAAAGTTTTTCAATACCGCTTGTGATTTCGTGATTTATAATGAACAGATATTTGGTCTCTGTTCCCTTTCCCAGCACAGAGCTCCTAAAACCCTTGGAGTTTCCAAAGTGATAAAGGTGATAGGAGTGTCCTTCCTTAACAAGCGTCTTTCAGCCACACTTGACTTTGGGAAAAGCCCCTAGAACCTAAGGATAGGGACTGGTGACCAGAGCCCAGGTGGCAAACACAAGGCCCGCAGGCTGAATCCGGGCCTCCAGCTTGGTTTATCCAGCCCGGCACCTTGCTTCTACGGGGAGGCACAGCCCGGCTCCCACTTAACTGTTACGGAGCAGTTACATTTACACAGTCCTAAAATGACATTCGGCCCTTTGAAGGCAACCTCGAGGCTGGTGTGGCCCCCGGTGAACATGAGTTTGACCCCCTTAGATTAGAGCGTTGGAACTTTCAGAACCACTCACCCGCCTCGCAATCCCAACCCCAGGCTGGAGGTTGAGTTAATCCCCAGTGGCCATAGATTTAATCAATCATACCTACCTAATGAAGCCTTTTTAAAATCCTCTGAGGTGTTCAGATTGCTTCCCATGCAAGAAAGGGCCTGCTCCTCCCCCACTCCTTGCCCTTTGCATCTCTTCCATCCAGCTGTTCCAGAGCTGTAGCCTTTTATAACTAACCAGTAATCTAGTAGGTGAATTTTTTCCTAAATTCTGCGAGCAGTTCTAGCAGGGAGCCCCCAGTGTGTAGCCAAGCTGGTCAGATTGTGGGTAACCTAAAGGGCCCGCTACTACTTGCAATTGGCAAGGGAAGGGGGTTCAGGGGGTGTCTTCTGGGACTGGAGCCCTTACCGGGTGGGAGCAGATGCTAACTTCAGAAACACAGTTTCAGAATTTAATTGAGTTATAGGACACCCAGCTGGTGTCGGCAGAGAACTGGAGAATTTCCCGGTGGGGACGAAGCCCCACACCCTGAGGAGCAGGCTTGGAGTACTGAGAGCAGAGTGGGGGGCAGAGGCACAAATGGAGTTTTTCCTTTTCTCTCTCCACCAGCCAATCACGGTGAAACTTCAACTATTTAAGGCAGCATAAAAGCCTTTTCAAAGTTATCTTCAATTACAGCCTGGCCTCATCTCCATTCCTTATCCTGGCATTCTGGAAATGCATAAATCGATGGGTTCCTAGGGCAAATCATATTCTCAAGACGCTGAGCTTTGGTTATACTATTCCCTCATCTGGATGAAAAGCACATGGACCCCCTTTTCTCAGAGGGAAATATAAGATCAGAATATGTGCTTCCCCTTTAAGAACGGAAGTTACTTTTTCTCATTCTGTAAAGTGTCAGCTGGACTTGAAGGCCAAAGAAAATCTCAAAGCAAATTCCACGGTATTTGCTGTTGTTACGGTAAACTTTTGAATTCCACGGTATTTACTGTTGTTACGCTTCTGGCACCCAGGGAGGAGAAAAAGATAAGAACACTGCCTGTGATGATGAAACTTGTTAGTTTTTCTTTCCTGTTAAAGATATTTTTACTTGAACTCTCTTTAAGGTTTGAAACATTTTTAGACAAATTCCACAAATGAAAAGCAGTGGTTGGTTTAAAAATTAGACACGGTTTTATAAAATCATGCCAGATGGTATCTAAGATTTAGCAATAGTGTTCTAAGCCTGTGGTCCAGTTCAAAGTCCGTAAACTTCTCATGTGGTTATGTGGTTAACAGAGTGATTTTGCTCACTTGCTCTCTCTCTCCTGCAATACTTTTTAAAAATTAATTATGTGGTTCTGGCCGGTCTTGTTCGGTTTTTCGCCTGTGTAAATTCCTTTGTGGCCCTGGCTGGCGTGGCTCAGTGGATTGAGTGCCAGCCTGCAGACTGAGAGGCAACCGGTTTGGTTCCCGGTCAGGGCACAAGCCTGGGTTGTGGGTTTCAGTCCCCATCTGGGGCACATGCAACTGACTGGTATTTCTCTCCCTCTTTTCCTGTCTCTCTAAAATAAAGAAATAAAATCTTCAAAAAACATTCCTTTGTGAAGACTTCTAAGGCAAACTCTGAGCTCTTTAGAGGATCCCAGTAGAATGAACAGCTTCTCCCTCCATTGAGTTAGATTGTAACTGTTTGCATAACTATCTTTCTACTCTGCTGATTCTCCTCTTGGACAGTAACGGTGGGTTCTGGTGTTTGGACTCCATGTTTTTAGCATATCCTTCCATGGTAGACCCTCACCAAACAGTACTTTAGTGAATGCAACAGATTTTTGATAAAGCTGAGTTCCAAAGCAGCCCGGCTGTTGTAGACCGCTCTGCCTGATTTTAGGAATTGTATCTCTACCCCTTGTGGCTAAGGGCGAGGGACGACTTTTGGAATGCCAGCCACAGGAGGCAAAGCCTGTCTCTGGTAGCAAACACTGCCTCAGTTCCTCTCCCTGCCACCAAAGCTTGGTCAGAAGTCAGTGACGGGTAAGACTCCTCACAGCGGGGGGCAACCTAAGCCAGACTTGATCACCTGGGAGGCCTTCATGGAAGGACTTGGGGGCTGCAACAGAGAGCAATGGACTCTTACCCCCCAGCTTTGACAAAGCCCGAGTCCTGATGTTCTCTGGGAGAAGTGCTTCCTGGCTCTAATCCCTTTAAGCCTGAACACCTGTTGGGAAGAGGTGCAGCTCCTTGCCTTGCTAGAGCCTGTCCTGGGGAAAAATCTGGCATCACAAAAGACTTGCTGATAAACCTGTGAAATCTGCTCTGCTAAGAGTGCTTTCATTCATATGATAAGGGTCTGAGAGGAAACGAGTATGTCTCCCAAAATGTCTGCAAAACTCCCTTCCTGACAGACACTGACTCAGACTCTGAAGCCCTCAGATTTCTTTGAAATGTTATCTACTGTTTGATCCTTGCTGCCCTGTATTCCTGTGTATTATAACCCAATAAAAGGCTATGGAAGAGGGCACTCGGGGCCTTTTCCTCCTCGGAGAAACTGCCACTGCTGGCCGTTGTCTCCCCTGAGAAACTGGCCACAGCCCACACCTCCTCCCCAAACAGATCTCATCATGTCTCAGCCATATTCATTCACTCGTGTTCGTGGCACCAGGAGGGACTCAAGAGGAAGTCGCTCCCACATCTGGTGCTCAGAACAGGGACACGAACGGACCTTCTTCAAGCCAGAGGCCTAGAGCTATGCCATGGACACGCCTGCCACGGACATGACCTTTAAGAAGGTAATAGACGCACGACTCTCATCCTTGGTGGTCAGGGGGGACTTAGGAAAGTCACTCCCACATCTGGCGCCTTCAAGCCAGAGGCCTTGAGCCACTTCGCTGCCAGGGACACACAGCTAAGTGGACGGAAATTCACCCCCAGAGGGTTCAGGGCATCTGGGGAAAAGGCAGTCCCCCAGGTGTGTTAGAAAATAGCGAAAGGGTACTTTTTGCCACATCTTGAATCTCCCCTGCACTCCCCTGCATAATACCCAGGACGGTCCATCTCACATTAATCTTGGGGCTCGGCGGGTAAGCTCATATCCAGACATCCGAGCCCTCTCAGCTGTATAAGTGAACCCGAAACTCAGAAAAGAATTTCTTTGATTGGAAAAGCGCGCGCACCCGGGGCAGTCCGGCTCCCTCCTCTCCCCCCCCGCCCGGGATCCACACTGAGAAGCAGGGCTGGGCGTGGGGCTATGTCCTCAGATCGAGCTGACAACTGGGACTGCTGAGGGCCGGGCCGCCTGACTCGCGGTCCTCAGTTCTCCACCCGTTCACTCGACCCTGAGAGTGGATGGGTTGCAGACCTGAGGAGGAGGAAGCAGAGTCTGCCACCCCCGGCCGACTTCTGTGTGCCAACAGCAGCAGCGAGTGCACGCAGGTAATGACAGCAGCAGCCGTTGCACACCGTTTGCTACCGAGAGACTTAGAACGCTGACCAGCCCAGCGGTGGCGCCACTGGACTGGCCACACTGGCAGCCGTGGTGGGCGCTGGCCAGCTCTGTTTCCTAGCAACAGGTAAGATTTCAGAGAGTGGGCGGGGCTATTATCATTGAAACTGGTTTTCTAAGCACCTCATCTTGTGGCGTGAGGGATCTTAACACTTTAAAAATAAAAATCTTTTTAACAAACAAAAAAGGAGGAGTCATGAGCCCTTCCCCCCCCAAATTTAATTTTACCTACAATTTTCTAAATTATGATGAGTTGCTTTGTATTCCAATTGTAAAATATTTTCAGACAGAATTCGAAGCCATATTACCCCCAGATTTTAACTCTTAACTTGGAGAAGAGGGTACGCTGTTTGCTTTTCAGAATGACCTTTAGAACTGCAGGCAATCAGGGTGAAGCCATATCACAGAAAAGGCTTCCCCGACGGGCAACGCATCTCCACACATTAGACTCTCCTGATCCAGACTTCTCCAAGCTGTGCAGAATTCCAGCCAACACCCCTGGAGTGATATTCAACATCACCTAAGAGAGACTTTTCCTACCAAGCTAAAGGGACTAAATTGGTGCTGCAGGACATTTAACGCTTAACCAAGCAGGTTTTTCAGACCCTTCATGCTGAACTCCAAACATTGGTTTGATGGACTTAATTTGAGAATGCGGGTCATTGGACCCACTGGTTGTTTATTGATTTTAATGATGCTTTCTAACTTACTCTTACCAAACTGTCTCACCCTGAGTTCAGATACTAACCCTTGGTGCATATCTTTAAAATAACTTTGTAAAGTCTGTGCTAATTCTCCCCAAAATTGAAATGTAACCAGACCTGTTACTTTTGTCTTTCCCATGCATTTATATCATATTTCAACTGACTGAATTTAGGAGTTTGAGTTATGACAGCCCTTAGATGCCTTGTTTGAATTCTTATTTGTGCTTTATGATGTATCTGGAAGTTGATTTCTTGTGATTGCATTCGGGAACAGCAAATAGTAGGTTTCCCAGGCCTAACAATTTCAATTGATTTAACAAACAGAAAAGGGGGAGATGTTGTAGACCGCTCTGCCTGATTTTAGGAATTGTATCTCTACCCCTTGTGGCTAAGGGCGAGGGACGACCTTTGGAATGCCAGCCACAGGAGACAAAGCCTGTCTCTGGTAGCAAACGCTGCCTCAGTTCCTCTCCCTGCCCCCAGAGCTTGGTCAGAAGTCAATGACGGGTAAGACTCCTCACAGCGGGGGGCAACCTAAGCCAGACTCGATCACTTGGGAGGCCTTCATGGAAGGACTGGGGTGGGGGGGCTGCAACAAAGAGCAATGGACTCTCACCCCCCAGCTTTGACAAAGCCCGAGTCCTGATGTTCTCTGGGAGAAGCGCTTCCTGGCTCTAATCCCCTTAAGCCCGAATACCTGTTGGGAAGAGGTGCAGCTCCTTGCCTTGCTAGAGCCTGTCCTGGGGAAAAATCTGGCATCACAAAAGACTTGCTGATAAACCTGTGAAATCTGCTCTGCTAAGAGTGCTCTCATTCATATGATAAGGGTCTGAGAGGAAATGAGTATGTCTCCCAAAGTTTCTGCAACTCTCTTCCTGACAGACACTGACTCATAGTAAGTCCTCAGATCTCTTTGAAATGTTATCTGCTGTTTGATCGTTACCACCCTGTATTCCTGTGTATTACAACCCAATAAAAGGCTATGGATGAGGGCGCTTGGGGCCTTTTTCTCCTCAGAGAAACTGGCCACTGCTGGCCTTTGTCTCCCCTGAGAAACTGGCCACAGCCCACTCCTCCTCCCCAGATCTCATCATGGCCATATTCATTCACTTGTGTTCGTGCACCAGGGGGGACTCGAGAGGAAGTCGCTCCCACCCTTGGCCAGCTATTGTTTAACCTTAGGCAAGTTTCTGCTTACCTGCGTCTCAGCTGACTCCCGGGCAGAAGGCAGAGTGCAGCCGGCAGGGTGAGCAGGTGAGCACTCTGGGGTCAGACTGTTACGGAGAGAGCTGATCCTATTGCTGGGCAGGTGTAGGAAGGGGCCGTAGGAGGAGTTTGTCACAGAGACGGTAAACAGTCTAGGGTGGGACTGGCTGAGAAGCTGATGTCTCCAAGATGCCTGGAATTATGGGTGAGATTTGAAATAAAAAAACGACTCACAGGCTCTCGGGCTCTCTGCTTCCTCAAGGATTCCTGGATGATCGTGCCACAGCTGCCTGCGTTTCCCAACGGACAGTATTTTGGATGGGAAGGAACTCCAAGCACAGCCTATGTTGAGGCCGGCCTGGCAGAAGGTGGCAGCGTTATTCTTTGCACGTTTTATAGGCAACAGGCTCTGAGGCAGACGCCTGCCATTCTTCCAAAACTGTGTAGCCTTTGTATCTTACGTTGTTTTAGTTTGTAAACTAAACCGCTACAAATAAGATAATTAAAACTCACGGGAATGACGGCAGAACTCAGGTGTTAAGCAGTTTAGCCTTAATTAAAGGGTTAAGCTTTTTTTTTCTTTTTTTTAAGACAGAGGGGAAGGGAGGGAGAAAGAGGAGGAAATAAACATTAATGTGTGGTTGCCTCTTGCACACCCCCTACTGAGGACCTGGCCTGCAACCCAGGCGTGTGCCTTGACTGGGGATCGAACCAGCAAATCCCTTGGATCACAGGCCAGTGCTCAATCTGCTGAGCTACAGCTAGAGTTTAGCTTTAATTGATAGGCTTAAGTGACTAATATATGTAGAAAGCTGTTATTCCAAAATTGTGAAGCTCTTTTTTAAATTTATTTATTTAGTTAGAGAGAGGAGAAGGGAGGGAGACAGAAAGGGAGAAAACATGAATGTGAGAGGCACCTCATCAGTTGCCTCTCACGCGCCCCCTACTGGGGACCTGGCCTGCAACCCAGGCGTGTGCTCTGACTGGGAATCGAATCAGCGACCTTTCCGTTGTCGCGTTGATCTGTTTGTCTGTTCCCCTCTCCCTCCTTATGAAAACACCTGCCTGCACCGAGACGTGGAGATGGGCTCAGTGACATGACTCTCCCATCTCCCAGGTGGCTGGCATCTGAACGATCCGCTTTCCTTTCCATCCGCACCTGCCTCTTGAGCATTAGCTTTCGAAGCAGCAGGCAGCCAGACCTGCTTTCGGGCACCCGGCCAACTGAGCTACCGGCAGGGCTCTCCTCAGCTCTTTCTTTGGCTGCCTGACTGGCGGTCTGGGTCTGTTGTCTCTGAAAGCCAACTCGGTATCTTGTTAGAAACGGCACAGGGCCATTCTGAGCTGGTTCTGTGGTGACAAGCTGCAGCCACGATGGGTCCCACCTCATCTGTCACCCTTTGGACTAAATGAAGTGATGCCTGTGAGGCCCAGAGCCCAGTGCTTGAGACATTAGACAGGACTTCAGTCAGTGTTCACTGGCGGAGCTACTTTCTTTGAAATGCGGCCGGCGGGCCTCACTTCACGGTGCTGAGAGGAGCCGTCTGTCCGGGGCCAACAGGGTCTAGCCAGCAGCACGCACCCCTGCTTGTCTCCGGCAGCTGTTGCGAGACAGCTCCGTCTCCCCAGCCGAGCAGCTGGCTCTGCTACTTCTTGTGTGTTGCCCAGGAAAAAAAAAATGTTCCCCAAAGAAGGAGCACCGGGCTACACCAGGGGAGCAGAGCCCCTCAGCCACACCCCCTCCATCTCTCCACCTTTTACTATGGAGTTGTTGGAGAAGGCGCAGTAACTTTCCCAGGCCTCAGATGCCACATAGTGTGGGAAAGAGGAGCCAGCTGCCGGCCCTGGGCTTAGCAGCAAAGGCCACTGAAAGGAGCAGCAGGGCAGAGCCCCCCTTTGGGTTTGCAGTCGACTGCCAGGCCCTCCTGGTTGCAGCCCGGCTCCCAGCCTCCCTTTTCCCAAGCACGCAGCTGCGAGACTGCAAGACTGCAGGGCCCCGCCTCCCCAGGGGAGCGCGGACCACCCAGTGGCTGCTTCGACTCAGCTGGCTTATTTGCAGAGGCCTGGAACTCTCCGGGACCTAGCGGGAACGGAGAACTCAGTGCCTTGTGGGGCCAGCCGGTTTTAGTGCATCGGAGGAGCCCGCCCTCCTTCAGCACCCCCTGCTGGCGAGGACGGAGATGAAGAAAGGAGGAGGAGCGGCTCCTGTAGGAGGGTCACGGACCTGGTGGCCAGAGCTGACCGACATCATCTTGTTCGAAGTGCACCTAAGCCAGAGTGCCGGTTTGCTAGGGCTGATAACAAAATACCACAGACGGAATGGCCTAAACAACAGAAATGTGTCGTCTGGCAGTCTGGGGGTTGGAAGCCTGAATCAGGGGTTGGCAGCGTTGCTTCCTTCGGAGAGTGCGAGGGAAGGGGCCGTTCGGGGCCGTTCCTTGGCTCGGAGATGCATCTCCTGCCTGTGTCTCTTCCCATCTTCCCTCCACAGGCGCCCGTGTCTGAATCTCTTCTAAGAGGACACCAGTCATACTGATTAGGGACCCCCCAATGACCTCCCTCTAACTTGATACCAATCTTCAAATAAGGCCACGTGCTGAGGTACCAGGGCTAGGGCTTCAGCATAGGAATCAGAGTTATTGCCCTTCAGAGTTATTAGGGATGTCAGTCGCCTGCAGAGATGAACAGCGCTAGCACTTCATCCCGCAACCTCGGTACCAGGTGGTGCTCTGCACCAGCACAGGCTCGGCCTGTGTCCTGCCACCTGTACAGACACCGACAGCAGACTGACCACAGAACAGTCGTACCACCTCCCCCGTAAAGTCCGTGAGGCCCGGGTTCTGCCTTGTCACATCCAGCGGGCACCTTGTATGAAAGGTTCAGCGGAAATAGATGCCACTGCATACCAGCTGCACCCCAGCTAAGCTCACTGGGATCAGGTGGCAGCAACCCCCAACCAGTGGGGCCCCGGGTGCCACTGGGAGAGCAGAGGCTCCTGGGATCCGGGGACTTGAACCTGCATGAGCTTGTCTGCCCGATCTCCATCCACTCCTCATTTCACCTAAGAAAAAGCCACCCTCACATCTGTCGAGCTAAGTCAAAGGCCTCTGTGTGTGGCCCTCTAATTAGAGTCTCGAGTGATAATGAGCCTCCCTGCAGCGTGTGGATGCAAACAAAATGCTTACGTATCTATCACTGTGTGCACAAGTATTTTTGTCCTTGGATTCTAGACCTTTAATCGCTCTCTTGGAAATAACCTTTGTTTTTAAAAAATAAACACACACACACACTGTTGATGATGAAAGCATCCCCTAAACACACCCCCTGCCCAGGCTCAGCCTCAGCTCTGCTCCTCAGAACATGAGGCTGCACACTGTAAACAATGCCCTGACTCTCGGCAGCAAAGCCCCCTCCTTTCGACTGATGCAGTAGATGGCTTAGATTTTACCGCTTGTGGGGGAAAGGAGGTAGTGAGTGATGAAGGATGAAGGCTTTGTTCTAACTGGCAGGATTCAGAGGTGACTCGACTTAGCTGGTTCCAGGAATGAAAAGAAATCCGGTATGACAAGCAATCATTACTAAAACTGAGATATAATTCCCGTGCTATAAAACTCTGTTTTTAAGAACATCATTCCATAGTTTTCAGTACATTCATAATGCCATCACCACTTTCCAATTCCAGAACATTTCTGTCACCCCAAAAAGAAACCCCATACCCATCAGCAATAACTCCCCACTCCCCTCACCCCCACCAGCCCCTGGCAACAACTAATTTCTTTTCTATAGCTATGCATTTGCCTCTTCTAAGCACATAAATAAAATGATACAATATTTATCCTTTCGATGTCTCCTTTCTTTCACTGAGCATGTTTTCAGGTTCATACACACTGCAGTGTGTATCGGAACCCCACCCCTTTCCGGTTGGATGACACCCCATTCCGTGAAGGTAGCACTTTGGTTTCTGTCCGTCCGTTCATCACTCGATGAAAATTCGGGTCGTTTCCACTTCTTGGCTATTGAGCACAAAGCTGCAATGAACACTGATGTACAAGTCTGTGCGTGAACATTGTGTTCAAATGTCTTGGGAATATGCCTAGAAATGGGATGGCTTGGTTACTGAAGGGCAGGAATGTAGTTCAAGGGCAGCACTGAAGACTGGAGAGAGAACACGCGTGTGCCCGTTTATAAACAGACAACCGCACACTGGGCAGCTAGACGGCAGGATCTGTTTCTTCACATCTCTGGATGCAGGAAGTCGGAGAGCAAGGGGCCGCGGCTTTGGGTTCTCCCGAGGCCTCTCCTCGGCTTGCAGGTGGCTGCCCTCTCCCTGCGCCCTCGTCTGGCCTCCTTCTCCGTGTGAGCAGGCCCTTGGGTGTCTTCCTCTTCCCATAATGGAACCAGTCCTATTGGATGAGGGCCCACTCTTATGATCTCATTTAATCTTAATAAACTCCTAAAGGCCCTATCTCCAAATTCTGTCGCATTGGGTGTTAAGGCTTCAATGTATGGACTTGGAGTAGGTGGCGGGGCAGGCACAGTTTAGTCCGTAATGCACCGATAAGCCAGGAGGTGAGCAGAACCAGCACCAGATCATGGAGAGTCATGGACACGTGTTTGGGGGGGTGCCGCTTCACCCACCCACCCTCTAGGTCTCCTGGGAATTGGCTCCAGGGAGAGTCCCCTTCTGTCCTCCAGCTTCCAGACGGGACTAGGCACCGTGGGCAGCTCCAGGTGCATTTCTCAAGGTTGCCTGGGTAAGAGTGGACCCAGCGGGAATCATTAGAGAGAAGTTGCCTAGGTAGTAAATATACTGGGGAGGAATGCATGCAAATTAGAGACAAACGACCTGCCTAATTAGGCTGCATTCTTTGGGTCACTTGCTC